ACCCCAAAACCCCTATTTTAAATAGAGAGAATTTTAAAAATATATCAACATTCCAAATTACAAATTAAATTGAATTTAACGTTAAAATGAACAAAAAGGAGATTTCTATGACCACCAAAAAGAGACTTGCCAAGCTCTTTACATACACTGGAGAGGCTGAATTAGATCTAGAGTTGGCAAGATAAAATCTATGCAAGGCTTAGTAATTCGAACCTTATGCATCCTTTCAAAGAATCGATAGAGGATGTAAAGGATATCTATCAATTCGAGATTTCCTTAATTTCATGAAGTAAGGATAAATATTAGAATTAGAATTTGACTTTTAGGGATAATGGTGTTGATTCTATGACAGATTTAGACGTTTAATTGCTGATTAACTACTTTGATTCTACATCTGATGGAAAGCTTCTCTATACAGAGTAAGATTTTCTAAATATATAATCAATTCAGTTATCTCCAGATGCTTTTGCCATGTGATTAGCCATATATCAGAGCGTTGACTACTTAGAGACCTACTTATCCGGTTGGTCAATCAGAGTTTTTACCATTTGATGTTGAAAAACTACTAGCCAATTTAATCTATAAGGAACTTAAACTTGCCAGAGAGCAGGAAAGGTTGAAAAATGTTTTATCAGAGAGATATGATTATGAGTCCAAAAGCTTGTTTAAAGATGTTGACGATATTAATTACAATTATATTGATGCCTCTAACTTAAGAAGATATCTGATAAAGACAGGATAGCTAGCCACTGATTAGTTACTTATATCTATACTGAGAAGATTTGATTTAGATGCAGATGCCAGACTTAGTCTTTAAGAATTTTGTGATGGAATAAAACCATAAACTCCAGACGCTGCTAAAAAATGTCATGGTGAAAAGTATTAGAGTCTTGTAGCTTCCAGGTTAACACAAAAATCAAAGACTAAAAATCATTATCAATCAGTAAGATCTCATAGCAGAGAGAGAACAATTTAAACAACTTCGAAAAAGCAAAAAAATTAATCTATTGTGAGACCAGTTACTGCAACTGCTGATAAAAACTCAGTAATCAAGACTAATAACACTATGGATATGAGGAAAAGCTCTATGAAGCAGTTTGATACCATTTAATAAGTGAAAACTACTTAGTTCTAAGAAGATCTTCTAGGTTTAAGTGGCAACAATATATAAGCAATTAGAAGCTAGAGAGTTGAAGACTATAATGCTTCTTACCTCAGATTAAAAACTGGAAGTTCTCCAGTAGATTACAGATAAAGCTTTACTTAAAGTTAAAGTATAAAGAGTCCCTAGAGATCAACAATAACTCACTTCGAACATTTTAGCCCCTAGAGTACATTATAGCATCAAAGAGTGACATCTTAATTTTAGACCTCTTAATATGGTGATCAACAATAAAATGAAATTGATGTCTCGTTGATGTATTTAGTTAGAGATAGCTTTAAGTAAATAATGAAATTTGAAGGGGAAGTTGAATATTTAAAGAGAGATCTAGCCGGTAAATAGGATTTCACTCTTGCTGGAGTCTTTAATATGTTTACTGGGTATTCACAAACAAGAATAAATGCAAGTGATATTCTATACGGACTGGAAAGGCTTGAGATTCAATGTGACATAGCAGATGTTAAATTGGTAGTTAGTAGATATGATGCGGATTAGGATTCTAGACTAGGGTTCTGGGAGTTTTCAAACATTTTCTTGCCAATTTAACCTTTATTAAGAGATGAGTTAGAAAGAAGAAAGGCTTAATGGGATATAAGTTTTGATACCAAGGAACTACTGAGAAGATTACTTAGAAAGATTATTGAAACTGAGATATTCGTGGAGAGTGTGAGGTAGAGATCAAATAATCAGCCGCAAGTATCTATTAGAAAAGCTTATGATTCTCTTGATTGGCTCAATAGAGGTTACATAACTGATAATGAATTAAGAAGAGGTTTTGACTAGGTGGCTAATAGATACTCTCAAACGTCCATCTAAACAATTAATCACTATAGACTTGATAATGATGAGGTTGAATGCTTCATCAGAAGATTCAACAAGGATAAACTTAATGGAAGAATTTCCTTAGCAGAGTTCTTAGATGAATTATCTCCCAAATGTCCTGAAAAGCCCTATTGATTTTATTTTTCTTTATTATATATTACTAACAGTTTCCAAATTGTAACTTATGGGGTTTTGGGGTTTTGGGGTTTTGGGG